GTGGTTTGTTTGAGCAAGGGTACAAAGGAAGTCCATTCACATGGTGGAATGAGAGATCCAATGATGAGTGTATATTCAAGAGATTGGATAGGATTTTTGTGAATTTGCCATTTCATAACATGTTGCCAACTATTGAAGTTGAGCATCTAATCAGAACTGGATCAGATCATGCACAATTGCTAATGACATGTGGGGTGCAGACAACCAATTTTGTCAAGCCTTTCAGATTATTGAACTTTTGGACAAAGCATGCTACATTTATGGATGTGTTGAGGCAGAATTGGGAAGCGGATTTCATAGGGGATCAGTTTTTGATGTTCAAGCAGAATATCAAGAGGGTGAAGGCAACACTCTCAAAATGGAATAGGGAAACATTTGGTGATATCTTCAAGCAATTGGCTATTTTGGAGGACATTGTTAGGGTGAATGAGATGTTCTTTGAAGAAGAGCCTACAACTGAGAATAGGATTGTGCTTCAAAAGGCTCAATCTGAATTAAAGAAATACTTGAATATTGAGGAGCAGTATTGGAAGCAAAAAGCTGGGATGACTTGGTTTGCTGAAGGAGATAGGAATACAAGTTTCTTTCACAACCATGTCAATGGCAAAAGAAAGAAATTGCAACTGAAGAGGATCAAAAGTGGCAGTGGGGTATGGATTGAAGACCAGGAGCAATTGGCTACAACTACAGTGGACTTCTATAAAAAACAGTTCACAAATGAAGGTGATGCTTCTGAATTTCCCTTGCTCAATAATGTACCTTCAATGGTCATTATGGATCAGAATTTGGAACTTAGCAGATTGCCAACAACTGAAGAAGTAAGGACAATAGTTTTTGAGCTTAGCGGGGAGAGTGCTAGTGGCCCTGATGGATTCACTGGCTTGTTTTATCAAACATGCTGGGATGTTATTGGTGCTGATATACACAACATGGTGCTACACTTCTATGGAGGAGTTGGATTGCCTAAATCCATCACTCATACCAATCTAGTGTTACTGCCCAAGAAACCTAGAGTCGAGACCTTCTCTGACCTAAGACCTATTAGTTTGAGCAACTTCATTAACAAGGTTTTGTCTAGGGTGTTACATGACAGATTGGAGAGTTTTTTGCCATCTCTAATAGCTCCTAATCAATCCAGATTTGTAAAGGGTAGGAGTATATTTGAGAACATCTTATTGACTCAAGAAATTGTCACTGACATAAGGTTAAGGGGAAAGCCAGCTAATGTGGTGATCAAGCTTGATATGGCTAAGGCCTATGATAGGGTCTTATGGAAGTACTTATTGCATGTGCTAAGGAAGATGGGATTTTCTGAACACTTCATCAACATGGTGTGGAACTTGATGTCAAATAACTGGTATTCAGTATTGGTGAATAGGCAGTCCTCAGGGTTCTTTAAGTCGACAAGTGGTGTGAAATAAGGGGATCCCCTGTCTCCAGCATTGTTCATCATGTCAGCTGAGGTACTTTCCAGGTCTTTGAATAAGCTTTTTGAAGACAAGTCATTTGTGGGATTTGGAATGCCTAAGTGGTCTGATTCTTTAAACCACTTGGCGTATGCTGATGATACGATAATCTTTGCATCTGCTCATCCTCCCTCTTTGAGCAAGATTATGGCAGTGTTGGGGAACTATGAGAAGATATCAGGTCAGATGATCAACAAAGATAAGAGTTCATACTACATGTATTCAAAGTCGCTAATGGATTGTTTCAGGCAGTTGGAGCTATTACAGGATTTGCAAGAGGTAAATTCCCCTTCACATATCTAGGGTGTCCTATTTTTTACACTAGAAGGAGGAAGGACTATTATGAGGATCTTATCAAGAAGGTGAAGGCTAAATTGCATTCATGGAAAGGAAAACTGTTGTCATTTGGAGGAAAGGCAACACTCATCTCTAGTGTGTTGCAAAGTATGCCAGTTCACATGTTATCAGTCCTTGATCCACCAAACAGCATCCTGGAGCATCTACATAAGACTTTTTCTAGGTTCTTTTGGAGCACAAAGGAAGAAGGGAGAAGCAGACACTAGGCTTCATGGCAAAATCTTTGCCTTCCTAAAGATGAAGGGGGCTAGGTTTTAGGTCCTTAAATGATGTCTCAAGGGCACTGTTTGCTAAACTATGGAATTCAAGTTAATGTGGAGTAAAGGTTTGCCATTCAAGATATCCTTCTTCTTGTGGAGATTGTGGAGGCAGAAAATAGCTACCGATGACATGTGGAGGAGGCAAGGGCAAATGGTGATGTCTAGGTGTTGGTGTTGTCAGCAGCCCCAAGAGGAATCCATTGAGCATATATTTGTCACAAGTCCTACTGCCTCTAAGGTATGGAACTTGTTCATGGGGGCTGCTGGAATTTCTGTGCAATTGATTCAATTGAAGCAGATTATAAGGCATTGGTGGTATGCTCAGTGTTGTCCAAAATTAAAGCCACTATTTCAAGCAGTACCAGCTATCATCACTTGGGAGCTTTGGAAGAGAAGAAATGCAGGTAAACATGGTGGTTCAATATCCACAAATAGGGTGATTCATGAGATAAATAGAACATTGCATCAACTGGCAAGGGTGAGGTATGCTTGGATCCCTAATATTCCATTGTTATGGCCAGACATGATTCAATACTTTGAAGGATATAAACCTATATTGATCACTACAAGAGTAACATGACAGCTTCCTTGTCATGGTTGGTACAAATGTAATACTGATGGAGCTTCAAAGGGCAATCCTGGACCTAGCTCCCTAGGCTTTTGTGCGAGGGATGATGAAGGTGATGCGGTGTATGCTAGGGCAGTAGACCTGGGAGTGACAACTAATGTGGTGGCTGCAGCTAAGGCTATTCTTCAAGGGTTAGAATATTATGTGGAGCATGATTTTCACCCTCTTATACTGGAGACTGATTCGTTAGTGATAAAGAAGGCGATAGAAGGGGAATGGGATCCTCCTTGGGTAATTGCACAGGATGTGAAGAAAATTATAGAGATGAAGGACAACTTCAATGTGATCTTTCAACATGTGTTCAGAGAAGGCAACTCAGTGGCGGATTTTATAGCTAACATTACGTTCTCTTTTGTAGGTACATCTGAGTTTCATTTATTCTCTGAACTTCCTAGTGCAGGGAGGAGGTTGATCAATCTAGACAAATCTCAATCACCTAACCTTAGGATTAGGATAGCAAAGAGAAGAACCCCAGACTGATGGCTTCACAAGATTGGACTCTACACAAACTGATATGTCCAAATGCGAAGGAAAATGCTGAACCCATCATATGGTATTTTTGGAGATTGTTGAATCATTTCTCAGTGGTATTAGCATGCTTTCAAGATCAATCTGAGGATGGTTTAGCAATGTTTTGAATGATGACTACATTAAAGGTTCTAGTGGGGAAGGATCTGAGCTTACAAGAACACAAAAAGGCACATTCTCAAAGGCTGGCCTTTGCCTTGCAAAGTCTTCTTAAAGCCAGATCATTCCTGGCTTTTGCCTTGTAAAGCCAGCCTAAAGCCAGCTCATGCCTGGCTTTTGCCTTGTAAAGCCTGGCTAAAGCCAGCTCATGCCTGGCTTTTGCCTTATAAAGCCTGCCTAAAGCCAGCTCACGCCTGGCCTTTGGCCTGCAAAGCCTGCCTAAAGCCAGCTCAAGCCTGGCTTTTGGCTTGCAAAGCCTGCCTAAAGCCAGCGCATGCCTGGCCTTTGCCTTGTAAAGCCTGCCTAAAGCCAGCTTAAGCCTGGTTTTGCCTTGCAAAGCCTGCCTAAAGCCAGGCTCCTCTTCTACACATTAATCTTGATGAGTGAGCACATGATTAATACTTGAACAAAATCAGTTCACTGCATATGGAGATCATTTAGTAGCGACACTTGGAGGACGATGCGGACTTCAACTCTGCGGTGGAGATATTTGGAATTCATTTTAGCCTATGGACAATATACCCTGGTGCCTGGTGAGAGCTTGATAGATGCTGCTTAGTATTTGCCAATGACAATTAGATTCACATACACTAATAGGAGAATGAAGCATTCAACTTATCATGTTGTAATAGTTAGTTCATTAGATTTTAGCTTTTCTATCTTTTTTTAATAGCTAGTAGCTTCATGCAACTTCTATTTTGGTTTGGACATCTTGTAAGCATTGGACGTATTTTGGGATTTTATTTATATATTAGCCAGTAGGCAAAAAAAAAAAAGTTTGGCCAAATACTAATTACTGCTCAAAAGTATTTTTCAAATTAATCAGCCAAACACAAATTGCTTCTCACCAAAAGCATTTTTTTAAAAAGTATTTTTGAGAAAAACACTTCTCAAAATAAGCTAATTTTTATAAGCTTGGCCAAACATGCTATAATATTGGATTCATCGGGCAGCCACCTGTGGGTTTGGGGGAAAGAGGGATTTTTTGTGCTAAAAATAGTATTGTAAGGGGTCATTTGGTTACAAGGAATAAATAATTAGGCGTATCAGAATAATATATGAGATTATTTTATGAGTGTTTAGTAGAATTTTAATTTAAATTTAGCAAGTTCGGGATTGTTTATATCACAATTGATGAATTAATTTTATGCCATAACTAATTTTTTTTGGGTAACTAATATTTTTTTATTATTAATCATCAAGTGAAAGCAATACATAACCATAAAATCCAAACGAAGCTGACCAAACTAAACAAAAGACCAAAGAAACTAATACACCCTAATAACAAAAGATCTATATCCATAGTATTTTGGTGAATTCACACTCTGCAAACAAATGATATGTTGTCTCAAGATAGCTTTGACACAGAACACAGCTCAAAGCAACTTCCCTTGTAACTGTAACTACATGGTGAACTTCGCTTTTGGTCAAGTGTCATTTCTATACACAGAGGTGGATCTAAAAATTGAAGTGTATGGGTTCCTACCGCAATTTTAAGTCAATATATTACAATAACCGAATTAAGGAAGAGTATCAATATCCAACATATATTTAGAAAATAACAAAACACTTAAAGACAACATATGAATATAAATATTATAATTACAATTGTACTCGACGACTTGTCATGTTTTGAAAACGATCAATGATCGCATCATTAGGTACACTTTCAAATACTTCATCCTCTATATAACAAACTAAACAATCATTAAAAAATTCATCACCAATTCTGCTTCGCAAGTCATTTTTAACATACTTCATTGAAGAAAAAGCTCTTTCTACCGTTGCAGTAGCGACAGACAATATCAGACTTAACTTCACAAGAAAATAAACAAGTCTCCAAGTCATGTGCAAATTTATTTTAACCAATATCTTTGAAAGATCTCCAAGTCTTTTCAAGGTAGAGAATTCATTGCCCGCCTCTCGCACATAGTCAATATAGATGTCAAGCTCAAAACTAAGATCCTCAAGCATAGAATCAGTGAACTCATTCGGGTAGTATGTAGCAAGTTTCATAATCTTGTCTTTATCATAATTTGCAAAAGAATTATCTGAACTCAAACTAGCCATACCAAGAAGTAGATCAGTATTCACTTCATTGAAACGATTGTTAAGCTCCGAAAGTTACAAATCAATAATAGCATAGAAAACCTCTATACGCAAATGATAAGAATATGTAACACTTGATTTCTTACGCTTTGACTTTCCACGAACATAATTCATATCCATTTCGGGGATCACAATACCATGCTTGACACAAAATAAAGAGACGTCTCTTATCAAAGAATTCCATCTAGAATCTCTCATATCTTGCAATTGTCTCTTTGCGAAACCAACAAGCTTCATTGCACTTACAATATCTTGATTTTTTTTTTGTAAAGCCATATTTAAATCATATGTAAGTGCCAATACTTTCAACTTTAAATGTAACATATACACAAAGTCATAGGATCTTATGTCATCCACTAGACTTTCTACCATTGATCTCTCATGATAATTTGAGCCATCAATTGCAAGAACTCCAAGTACATGAACAATTGATGAGAATAAACTAATAAAATTACGCACTGTCTTAAAATGAGAACCCCACCGAGTATCACCTACCCTTTGAAGTCCAAGTTCTTGATTTAAACCGCTTCCTGTATGAACTTCACCAAGCACTAGTAGTTCCTCTAATTTTTCTGCTTGATCATCTCGAAGCATCTCCCTACGCTTAAAAGAACCCCCAACAATATTTAAAACATTTGCAAGAATATCAAAAAATTGTTCGGTCTTATAATATATTTTTGCAACAGCTACAAGAGTCAATTGCAATTGATGAGCAAAACAATGTATGCAATATGTTGAAGGAGTATCATTCACAATCAAAGTTTTAAGACCATTAATTTCTCCCTGCATGTTACTAGCTCCATCATAACCTTGTCCCCGTATTTGAGATTTACTCAATGAATGTTCCAAAAGCAAAGAATAAATTGCTTCTTTTAATGACTTTGCAGATATATCTTTAACATGAACAATGCTAAGGTATCGCTCAATAACTTTACCCTCTTTGTTGACAAAACGTAAAATAAGCGCCATTTATTTCTTATGAGAGACATCCTTAGACTCATCAACCAATATCCCAAAGTAATCCCCATTTAAGTCTTCAACAATTATTTTCAATGTTCTTTCGCACAAGAACTCACAATATCTTTTTGTATATTTGGACAAATCATAATGTCATTTTTTGGAGCATTTTCTTACACAACTTTCTTTACATCATCCTTCTTATTTGCATACCACTTTAAGAGATCCAAGAAGTTGCCTCTTCTTGTAAAAGTTTCACGTTCATCGCGACCACGAAAAGACATTCCTTCTTTCAAAATATACCTTGCAACATCAATTTAGGCATTCAGGAGAACCTGATACTCACTTTTAGTTTTCCCGGATTGCTTATCAAAAGATATTAAAATAGATTGTGCTTGATTCGATAAATCTAGCATCATCTTGAAACACCGATTATGAACACTATTCACTTCACCCACATGTGCGTTAAACCTCTCTATACCTTTATTCCAAGCCTTAAAACCAACTTTTGTAAAAGAATCACTTACTTTTTTTCCATATCCTCCTATCTCATTTTTAAACAAATAACAACATAAGCAAAATGCTGCATCGTCTTTAATACTGTATTCTAACCATCCAGAATATGAAGTATTAAACCATTCCGGATTAAAATGACCCAATTTTCCACCAAAATTTATTTTTGGAAAAATAAAATTGTGAGGCCGACAAGGCCCTTTTTGAATGTAATATCTTCTCACTCGGTCACGCAGATTAGGAGGAAATTCTGAAATTTATTTTCTTTCACCAGGATTAGGTTTAAGAAGATTCTGATCCAATATAATATCTTTGCTTAATGGGTGGGAAGAATTGACATTATCATTAATCACTGGACAGGAAGGAGAACTAGAAGTAGAACTTAAAGAGGTTTGCGGCTTGAAAAATCTCTTGATCATATCGAGTCTCACTAAAATGCCCTACAAATCATAAGACACAAATTAAATATTACAGATGAATATAGGAGAATAATAGTTAAGAAATATTATTTTATATAATATAATATAAGAGAAAAATAGTTATAAAAAAAAAAGATGACGGAAGGAGAGGACCTACAATGGATCACTGCTTGTCTTTGATAGGCAACAGAAGAAAAGTCAAAATTGAAGAAGAACGAAGGTCGAAGAACCAATGGCTTGCAAAATTGAAGAAGAACGAAACCCTAACTCTTTTTTTATTTATTTTGGGGACATTTTGATGTGGTTGTTTCTTTTTAGGTTCACTTTAGTCATCTATTATTATTAAAAAAATAGACTAAATTGGAAGTTGTACTAACTTGACAGAAAGGGAGTAATATTTGTCTGTTGGATGTTTTTCCTTAGTGGAAGTATTGCTCAAAAAGAAGTATTGCTCAAAAACTTTGGTTTTTGTCTGTTTAATAAAAAGGACTTATGGGGACTCGAACTTGCATCAACAAGAAGAGAAGCGGCCCACATCTGGGTTCCAAGATTTACCATTGGACCAGAAATGCATTTTGGAACTGGGCTCCCATATAATTATTGTTATATATTCAATAGATTTCTTAATACAAATATAGGATCTATACAAAAGCTACTGGGTTCCCGGGAACCCATACATAATACTGTATGTTCGCCCCTGTCTATACATCAAACCTTTTCAATTTTCTTTCATAGTCTTTTAAGAAATTTAAGGTTATCATTCAAAATAAAAGTTCATCCAAATTTATCAAATTTACACCAAATGTATATTTTATATTATATCACGTATATCTCATTTTTACTCCAATGAACCTAATATCCATCAATAAAAGTATATTCACTGAATAATACTATCTATATTTAATTTCCATATTGTGATCCTCCATTATAATCTCAGTGTAACTTATCTATTAACCAAGCTATCTTAAGTAGTGTTACATAATGACCTTAGACATATTATGTTGTTTAATGAATGTAGACATAGTCTTATGTAATGTACGTAGCAGAATTATAGGAATTTACAATAAATTTATAGGATTTTCATTTTGATTTTTTCTATAGTTAGGGCTCTATGTACTTGTATATATACTTGTTACTTGACATAATATATTATGAAATTGCTCAATCCTCTCTGTATTTTACATGGTACCAGAGCGGGTTCTCCGGCTTTACCGGAGTTAGATAGGGAACTTACCGAAACTGTCAATTAGGGTCAGAATACATTTGAAGAATTTGGAACTTGAAGTTTAACCATCATCACTAACCTAGCAAGGACCTACCCCAGAATTCGGTGGCTGGAGTAGGCACGAGTGGATCTCACGCGCCGACGAAGTATTTCCGACGCAGTCTGCAGAAGTGGTGTGTGGAGGTGCATGGGTTATCAGATTCAAGTGCTGCTTGGTTCTTCGACATCCACTTGACATTTTCGGCCAGCCTATGGTGTTTGTTTGTTCAGCAAATCTCAATCGGGAAAACCTCTAACCTTCCCAGGTTGGTTCATAGTGTCGAGGTTCTTTCACCTTTTCTCTATTGAGTTCGAATTTTGTTTCATTATGTGATTGCTCTATATTTAGTAGTGAATTAACTTTGTGTTTGGAAATTTGGCCTTTTATAGCTTTAAGATTAATCTGTTGGTTAGTGATTCTTAATTACTAATTCTTATCACTATCGGGCGGGATTTTTAATTGGTTACTGCCCATTTGATTGGCTCTCTTGGAGTTCTGTTTCTTTGTTTCACTGGCGTGTTTGGTTTGCTGGTTCGTTGGATAGTGTTATTCTGGTAGAGACCTTTTAGTAAGTAAGTTCTTTGAGTTGTTGATTCATTGTCTTAATCGTAGTGATTGTTGAAAATTTCTTCATGTAGAGATTTATTGGCTTTTCTGACATTTATATTGATACTTTGGGGATTTGTTTTGGAAAGATAACCATAAACAATAAGCAAGGAGAAAATAATACTACAGCTTCTGGTCCAACAATCTTGGTTTCAGATGTATTTCCAAAATTTCTTCAATATCAGAAATTAATTAAGGAATCTTCTTCCGTTACTGCTTATTCTAGATCAAATAAAACATGTCTTATCACCTCTTCAAATAAATGGGTGATTGATTCAGGTGCCACAAATCACATGACAGGTAATTCAAATATTCTTTTTGAGCTTTCGGTCACATAAAGCACCCTCTCCAATTACTGTAACTGATGGATTAACTTGTAGTAGTGTTGGATCTGGGACTGTTGAACCAACTTCCTCTATTACCATTCCATATGTATTAAGTCTGTCAAACTTGGCCTTTAATTTGATTTCTATTAGTAAACTCACCAGAGACCTTAATTGTTGTATTGCATTCTTTCCCGATCATTGTTTGTTTCTGGATCTTACAATGAAATAGGTTATTGGTAAAGGATATCTATCTGGTGATCTCTATATTCTTGATAAATGAGAGCCATAGTCTGTTGCATGTTCCAGTGTCGTGTCTCCTTTTGAAGCACATTGTCGATTGAGACATCCCTCTTTACCTTTGTTGAAGAAGCTCTGTCCTCAGTTTCAAAATATTTCTTCATTGGATTGTGAGTCATGTCGATTTGCAAAACACCATCGCATCTCATTAGGCCCAAGGGTGAATAAGTGAGTTGAATCAGCTTTTGAGTTAGTTCATTTTGATATTCAGGGACCATGTCCTGTTGTTTCTAAAACTGGCATAAGTATTTTATCTCTTTTGTAGATGATTTTTCTCGAATAACTTGGGTTTATTTTATGAAGAGTCGTTCCGAAATATTTACTCACTTTTCTGCCTTCTGTGCTAAAGTCAAAAATAAGTTTAATGCTTCGGTGCGTATTCTAAGGAGTGATAACGCTAAAGAATACATGTGAGAGTTATTTCAGTCCTACATGGGACAATATGGTATACTACATCCGTGTTCATGTGTTGATACCTCTCAAAATGGAGTTGTTTAGAGGAAGAATAGGCATCTACTTAAGACAACTCAGGCACTTTTGTTCCAAATGAAGGTTCCTAAATAGTTCTGGGTTGATGCGGTATCTACGGTTATTTTCTAATTAATTGTATGTCATCTATTGTGCTTGGTAGTAATGTGCCATATAGTATTTTTTCCCCAAACAAATCATTATATCCGGTGGAACCTAAGGTGTTTGGATGCACATGTTATGTTTGAGATGTCAACCATTGGTTAACAAGTTGGATCCCAAGAAATTGAAGTGTGTTTTCTTGGGTTATTCTCTCATTCAGAAGGGATTTCAGTGTTATTCTACTGAACTTGAAAATATTTGGTGTCAACTTATATGGTTTTTACAGAGACTATATCTTTTATGCACCTCTCAGGTTACCTGTGCTTCAACAGAACAACCAGACGATGTTCCTCTAGCTCTTAGTTCTTCTATTGAACACCAATCAACTAGTGTGCCTTTTGCACCTGCTCCAACTGTGTTAGCAAGACCGCTAATTGTTTAAGTTTACTCGCGGTGGCGAGAGATAAATGGGACATGTCCTGCAAAACTCCAGTGTGACGATCAAACTGCCCTCCATATTGGGTCAAATCCGGTGTATTATGAAATAACTAAGCATATTGAGGTTGATTGCCTTTTTATTCGTGAGAACTTGATCTCCACTGGCTACATGAAGACATGAGAGCCAACCAACTAACTTGTTCACAAAGGCATCGAATTCGAGTTGATTATCTTCGTAACAAGCTGGCATGATCAATACCTATGCTCCAGCTTGAGGAGTTGTGTTACATAATGAACGTAGACATATTGTGTTACTTAATGAACATAGACATACTCTTATGTAATGTACATAGCAGAATTATAGGGACCCACAACAAATCTATAGGATTTCCTTTTTGATTCTTTCTATAGTTAGGGCTTTATGTATTTGTATATATACTTGTTACTTCTTGGCATAATATACTATGAAATTACTCAATCTTCTATGTATTTTAAGTACTAATGTATAGTAATGTAGAACAAATCATGACGAAGGGAACTTCAAGTAAACAAAATAATTCCTTGCAATAACTCTGTTT